TCATCATATTTAAAACCACTTTAAAAGCTTTTCTTTCTTATTTAGACTTTCATCAATATAAATTTTCAAGATAATTGCAAATTCAAATGAAATTAGTTAGAATGTATTTTAAATCAAAATGATGCTGTGACTTAGAGATCAGAATTTTGCATAAAATTTATATTTCCCGCGATTCGCATTCCGAGTGGAGAACTTTCGTAAATCTTTTGAATTTCCCCCCCCCTCAGCATTTTTATTGTTTTTAAAATCATTTTCATTTAAATATTTTTTTCGGGCGACTCAATCCCCCAAGCACATACAGAAAACGTATACATCTTCTCCATAATATGTTTGTCCTAAAAACGTTCGCTGTTGTAAAGATAATCATTATTTAAACATGAGCAAATATGGAAAAAACAATTTTTCATGTCAATATGTTTAGGAGAGTAGATAACAGCCGCTAGATTATCAATTCTTTCCTAAATAAACACCCTGATGACATAGCTCTCGTATTTTTTCGACATTATTGGAAATTACTCATTCGGCTGCATCATTGGGTTTTTTTTTACCGATGACATTCAATCTGTGAGGTCAAGCGAAATAATAATTGCGGATCAAAATATCGGCATCTGTCATTGTGGTCACAGACGGACTGTCATCAGTCAGTAACTCCTCCTCCTTTGTGTCCTTCCCGAACCCCATGTGTTTGTGTTGTATTATGGCCTCTCAATTTGTTTGTGATCTATTTGCGTCATTTCACATTGGAATTAGGAGGAACTGTTTAGGTTGATTTCTTTTCGGGATTCGTGTGTGTGTCGTTGCTTGATTTCTTACTATTTGCTTTCGTAATTGCCTAGTTGGTTGTTTCTTAGCAGCAAGTACTTGAGTTACATCCGAGATCTAATATTTATATCTTTCATTTCCAAATTGATATCCCTATCTTTATATTGCAGAGGATAACCCGTCTCCGATTGAAATTTTCGGCCTTTTTTGTCCTTTATGTAAATTTAAATCGTCTATTCTAATATAGCTTTGTAAAAATTATAGTCACTTAAAAGTTGTAGGAGAAAAAGGAAATGGTATCCTTTTTTTTTTTTTTTTTTTTTTTTTTTTTTTTTTTTATTAAAAAGTCTTCAAAAGTGCTAAGGTGGATCATGAAATGCAGCATATACACACTTTTGCAAAAAAAATCGAAGCACCATGAAGGAAGTGGTTCTTTTTGATGAAACTGAATATGTGTATAGCCCATACACAGATAATAAAATGATTAAAAAATCAAGATTATAGCACCTGTTCACGGCTCATAATCACCCATTGAATGTTCGAATTAGTAGCTTGTCGAACCACCCCTGGCAGCAATGCGTGCTTGAATTCGTCGAGGCAAAGAGTGGTGGAGGTTCCTAATGTCATCCTGCGACACATTCTGTCAGGCATTCGTCAGTTGTTGCTCCAGATCTGCGATATTTTGTGGTGCCTGCCCGAATCTGGCGGCCTAACATGTCCCAGACATGCTCGATTGGTGAAAGGTCTGGTGACCTTGCTGGCCGAGGAAGAGTATCAACCGCACGGAGACAGTCCAGAGATATGCGAGCGGTATATGGCCTGGCATTATCTTGTTGGAAAATGGCCCCAGGATAACGTGGCATGAAGAGTAATGCAACCGGCTGCAGGATGGTATCAACATATCGTTGAGCTGTTAAAAGATGTACTGAGGATGTCTAAAGATGACCTGCTGTCACAAAAAAAAGCGCCCCACACCACCATACCATCACACATTTTGACCGCTGGCCCCCGTCCTCTCCAGACACGAACATAGTGGTCATCTGCTCCAAGAGTGAAGCTGGATTCATCGCTGAACACTATACGATGCCAATCTGGTGGCTGCGAAACCACTCCAGACGACTTCCCCGATGTTGTGGGGTCAAAGGCAAACGTTTAAAGTTCTGTGTAAGCGTAACCCCGCCTCAGACAAGCGCGCCGTGAGATGGTGGACGGTACCAATGGAAGTATAGACGTGGCTGTAGTGCATTGAATAGTCGACAATGATATCGTTGGGGAGGTTCGGGCCTGGTGAACAGTCATCCTGTCTTGCCTGGCATTTAGGCTCCTCGGCCTTCCAGAGCCTTCATTTCGTCGGCAATTTCCTTGTAGCAACCATTGCTGCCAATATCTTTGCACAGCAGTGTCTGTGCGCTGCAGGTGGCTGACTAATGTTTGGTACGACCACCCAGCTTTACGCAACCTTATACAATGCGACCACATTCGATGTCGTTTAGTTGTCTGTTAGGTCTTCGATATCTTCGTAATAGCATCTTTAGTTGCTTCTTTACGGAATTACAATGCCAGCAACAAAAAAATGATGAATTTTTCGCCTCTATTACTGGGTTTATAGTTTGCGAATAGCGCTCTAGAAATGCGAGATACGGTCGCAATTCCTGGTCATTTGCTTGAAAATTTGATCATTTGCGTGTTCGATCAAGTTGTTTCTGCATACCAAATTCCGTCACGATCGGAAAAGTCCTTCTTGGTGTTTCAGTTTTTTTGCAAAAGAGTGTATTTTCTGGTTAATTTTTATTCGATGTGAGCTATTATATTATTATATTCATAGTTAAAATTTGTAGAGAATTTTATGAAGATTTGATTATTATATAAAAATAAATATCTGTATTAAATTTTATTTACTTATTACCTATTGTTTTTTTTTTTTTTTTTTTTTTTTTTTTTTTTCGTCTTGTTTGAAAATATTAATTTCTTCCGTCTTCATGTTTTCAACTGCATAACTGTACAAAATCGAATAAAATTAGTCAAAAAGCATAAAGCAGATTAAAAATTTAGAACAATGAATTAAATGTTCCGCTAGTACAGAGTTCGTACGATCCTTAAAAGTTCTTAATTTCGGCGAAAATCGGCAGAAAGTCATTAATTTTAATCATCTGAAATTTCTGTTTGGTTTTACGACTGCCATTTTGAATGTGAATTAGCATTTTAGAGGAACATTTTTGGCGATTTACTGATAAATATGGTTATCTTTTGAATAGGTCCGTGGGTTATAATTTGCTCCTTCTATTTCTAATATAAATGGTGGGGTACTCGAGTCTCTGAGCAAGAAGTGAAACATAGGCATTTCGAAATTATTTCTAATGAAGAGCTCTTAAACAACTTTTTGCTTTTGAGGATGTGAATTCTTTTATTAGATGGTTCTAAATTTGGCGATTTTAAGATCAGTTTCTTTAGCAAATTTTTAATTACGAGGTCTGGGAATTTTTTGACGATTTTTTTAAAACATTGTAACATTAATAAATTTCATTAAAATAAAGGTAATATATTGCAATTATATTTAAAACATAACATTGAAATAAAACATTTTTATTTTCCCCTGTCATATTGTAAGGATCTTAAATTTTACTAACGTTTATTTTATTTTAAATCTTTACTATCACTTCTTATTTTCTACTTCCGGCCAGAATTATAAGCGTGAAGGAGTTTATGCAAAGTTGTCTGGCGAACGCCAAGTATTTAAGTGTGGCCTTTTTGCCAAGCAGAAGAGAGGAAGCCGTGAGTTCGAAGCAGGCCGCTTACCTTAGAAGTTACGCAGTTGCTACTTTGCCTTCCAGACCAGAGGTTTTAATCCTTAATCCTCTTGATAAATTAAACGTATTGTAGTGTTCACAGTCTCTGTGCTACATACGCTTCCTGTTATTATAAGGCCAATCTTATTCTAAAGTTAAATTAGAGTTTAGTTTTTTATTTTGATATCTTTTAAGTTAGACCCCGAGTGGAGGGTCATTGTATTCCGAAGTACGGAAGTCATTGTATATAAAGAAAAAAAAATAAAGGGTTTTGTATACCCTTCGTCTGTATCCTGTCTACTTACTACAATTAGTGAACATAGCTTTAGTAAGCTCTCTGTTCTAGTCAGGTCATTGTATGTTTCCGAAGAAGGTTAGAAGAAACATTGAACCTGATAATATTATAAACATCCTGTTTGGCCACATGTTATACAGTACTTTGAATCTGAAAAATAAACAAGGTATAATGCTATAAAGTACAATTTACGAAACATTTTAGCAAAAGCAGTCATGTAATTATTTTAAAATGTCTTTTTAAGAGGTGGGTTTTCCTGTCTCAGAGTATTCAGAATTCTCAGAATATGCATCAGTTTTCTCTATAAAATTAATTTTACATTTTTTTTTTTTCCCTGAATTTTTTTTTTTTTGTTTTTTTTTTTTTTTTTTTTTTTTTTTTTTTTATATTGTTGCTTTTTGCTGTTACAGAATTGGCAGGGGTAATTTTTCTTTCAGATTTTAGGCATTGCAAATTGGAAAGTTTAGAAGGATTTGAAGGCAAGATTTATATACCGAAAATTCTAGAAGATTTCAGAAAATGTGACAGAATGAAAAATGTCTTCATGGTATTAACACGTAACGGATGTATTCTACAGAAATTTTGCGATGAATTTTTTTACTTTTTGGAGAACGTCTGGAAGAACAATGAAAACATAATATTTGAATGTTTTACTTCTGATACTAGAATCTTTTTCTTAACATGTTTATCTTATCTTTATTTTATTTATTCCCATTAGCTCGTAGATCCTTATTTTTTTCATTAATGGTGCTTAAATAACTTATTTCTGTGTGCGGAAATGTGTACGAACCCTGTAGTAAGTTTTACACTTAAATCGGTTTATAACGTAAGTCAGTGTTGTCAGTGTGAAGACCATTTGAAGTTGCCTCTCTGCCCAACTCAAAGACCTCTCGATTTGTCAAGTTTCAAGGTTGGTAACTAGATTAACGTGAGAAAATAACTCTGAGAGGATGCCAATATCATATTTTAGAACTCAGACATGCGAACTCGAGTATTAATAATCAACAAAATTCCTACTTTGTTTACGATGATTTTAGACGAAAAGCTTATTTATAAAACTAATGCTCTAATAAACTGATGCCTATTCCGTGTTCTGTATTCATGGATAACGTTTAATTTCATGATGCATTTGAAGCATTGACTATTAGATTTAAAACTTTGTACTTTGCTATTTTTCAAAGAATGTAATGAATTCTTTTTTTCTTAGTATCTCGTGGAGGACCCAGTGATCCACGCCTAGCTTCACATCCAGCTCCTCATGCCGTGCAGAATTATAATCCTTTTATGTAAGTTATTTTTGTTATATTTCAATCATCAGTACTCAATGTACTTATACTTCATGAAACAATTTTTAACGTTTTTAGAGCTATTTAATTGGGCATTGTTTTGCAGTCCGTAAACCATAATGTTGGTAGTTACTACTTTTGTTATCTATGGATCCTGTCATCACCTATTTCAGACTATTTTATGCTCACTTATATAAACAAAGATGAAAAAATATCTGCATGTAACACATTTGACAGGTAGAAAAATTAAAGAAATTTAGGCTGATTGTTATCTTGTTGTATTATATGAGAAATTGGTCTATGTTTTAAATGGTAGATATTTGAGTTGCCATTTAAATGCATTCTTTTTTATTAAATTGAAACAGAGGTATTTCTCTTTTGTTCAACACTAAGTTTGGCAACATATCAGTATTTTTTCATTGTAAAAACCAGTTTGGCTATTAAGATTTTGAGTTTGTGATTTTTTAATTTCATGACAATTTTTCAACCAGTTTAATGTTATTAACACATCATTAAAATAATGATAATATTTAAAAAAATTATGTTATTTTAGAGAAATTAATTTAATAAGACTTCTTATTTTCCTTTTGTTCTGTTTTAAAATTTCTTCTCCTTTCGTATTTGGGGATTTTTTAATTCCTTGATTTTGAAGTTTAAACAGGTTCATAAATCTTACAAAGAACAATTCCAAATTTCCTTCCATCAAAGCAACAAAAGTTACAGTAAGTACAGCACCCATTGCTAATTAAAATCACTTCTGTTCCAAACGTACGTGAGTTTGTAAAGCAGCTGAGTTTAATAGATGGTGATTTGTGTATTATAAATTGTGATATAGGTTTTAAACTTTTTAAGTAAAATAATAACTAATGAGTAGTACAGTGTGTTTGACATAGCTTCATATTAATGCAACTAGTCTTAAAAATTTATTAATTTAATTAATTTTAAGCAATCAAAACTCCTCTCCCTTCCCCCCCCAAAAAAAATTGGAATTATTGTGTATGACGTGTACGAATCTAAAAGGTTAATTTTTAGTGAATAGGAAGAATTTAGAATTAATTCATTGTTTTAGATTCTTATTTATGATTATCTTCAAAAAGCATTTTGAGTAAAACGTAATAGTATTATGTTGTCATTAAATTATATTATTTTCATATGTAACAATAAACATACTTTTTATTATACAGTCAAAAGTCGTTAATTCGGACACCCATAATCCGGAATGATCTATAATCCGGACCTCAAAGCTACAAACTTTCTGTGCATGCGTCGCGTTCACGTATGCGCGTAAGACCTTTACGGCTGCGAATTTGCGTGTGCACGTGCGCAAAATACGTTTACGAATGCACGTTTAATGTATAACGGACGGTATAAGCTAAGCTCTAATTATCTATTTCAGTTGATGTTGCAGATTGCGTTGTTCCTTAATCTTCGAATTGGATCCGGCTTATTATTTTTTGCAGACTGTTAGACTGTTATTTTATAAAAGTAAGCTTGAACTTTCGATTATGTCAAATAGAATTTCCGATTTATATTTACTAATATATAACGGATCTACAAAGCGAAAGAATGTTTCAGAGTCCATTAAACAAAAAGTGGAATTGCTGCAAAAAATGAATAAAGGAATATCCTTTGTTTATCTAAACTTTAACGTTTGTTTATCTAAACTTTGTTTATTTTTAACGCTGTGTCGCACGCAATTAATTGGAAGTTGATCTGTCACCACTTTCCTTATCTTCAGGGCAGATGTTTTTATTTTATTTGGCTTATAATTGCTTACTAAATGTAGTATTTCATTTCGATGTACTCCGTCTTTGATATGATTTAAATCAAATGCCTCGTCATTATAATTCGCTTCCGATAGCGAAGAAAGTGACAGAGTGTTATTGAAAACGGAAAAATTTCGATTGACAAATTAGTCGGTATTCTCGACACAGCATTTATAGGACTTGAACAGCGGAACTTTGTAACCGAACAAGAAATTATGTCCGTTTATAGAATTAAAGAGAAATGTATTATCACATAAAAAACGAAGCAACTTAAACAACTTACTACATTGAAAGAAATGTTTTTAGTAAAGTAAACAAATAAATATTAAGCTTTCTTTTTTTTTGTAAATTTTGATACACTTTAGATCATAATTGTTCTTTATTTTGTAAATTACGGTTTCATATTTTTAATTTTATAATTTCTGCATGCCATTTTACCAGATTTAAATTGATTATCTATAATCCGGAAAAATCGATAATCCGGAATCGCCTAAGTCCCGACGAGTCCGGATTAACGACTTTTGACTGTATAAGAAAAAGTAAGTATACTAAGTGTGTTACTGCATTAATTTTAGATGTATGCAAATTGCATCATTCTCGAACTATTCAAGTCATTTAATTTATAAGTCATTATTCTGTTTTTCCCTTAATGGTATTTTGTGAAAAATATTCTTTCCTGTTTCAACAGACCTGTTGAACCTTTAACAATGGTTAATAGCCGAAGTAGCATTCACCATAGTTCCATGATGCCACCACCTCAGAGTACTGATAGAGGTTCATGGGCTCCTATGACATCAAAGAGTGATGCCTATAAGATTCCACAAAATCCATCAAGCAGTAACTCATACGGAGCTCCCTCGAATCCATCAAGAATTAGTGCATATGCAGTTTCACAAAATCAATCAAGAAACAGTGCGTATGGTCCTCCTCAGAGTTCTCCGTATTCGAGACAGCAACAGCATCCTGACAGAAATCAGCAAAGGGACACACGGGTAAGCAGTTTCATTCTTTCTTTTTATTTTATTTTAAAATGCAGAAATATGAAAACTTAAACATTGTGTAAATAAAATTTTTATATGTAAGTATTTTTTGTTATTATAAATAATTTTGATTTTTTGCCATCGGATGGCATGTCGATTTCATGTGTGAAGCTGGTGAGGTGCCAAAGTGCTTGGCTTTGCAAAAATACTTATATTTGCTATAAAGGAGTAGGCAAATGCTATGGACATGTTTTGTGGTGTGCAAAATGGCTGACAATGCCCATATCATTGGCATATTAGACTTTCACTTACCAATTTTTAATAATTAATTTAAAAGTGAGTTAAATCCTCCAATAATGGCAAAGCAAGAAGGAAATGTGTTTTTACCTGATGAGTGCATTGGAGTTTCATCCGATATCCAGTTCAGTTTGATAGTTCTAAAAAGAAAAAAGAAAAGAATTCATACATTCAGATGAAGATTTAAGTGATGTAGAGCTTTCAGATTCCTTCAAAATATAGCTACCAATGCCTGAGCAGAAAAATCACTGAATACTGGTAATTTGACTCGGATTCGAATCCTGGCGAAGAAGCTGGCTGCATAGAAGTTCTCTTGGTGGTCTCTGTGTATGTATATGAGCCAATTTATCTCAGAAAGTCTTCCTGCATTCCTTACTGTAGTATATCCCTCAAGCTGCTTTACCTTGATCAGTTGACCTAACCTCCAAAATACATGTGGGATGAAATCGGCAAACCCAGCCATTTCCGAGTGAGGAAGTAAAGTTGTTGACAGAATTCATCTTCAGAGTTGACAAAAATAAAAGTGTTTATTGCATGCTTGCAGATAGTGATATATTAAAGAATAAATTATAAGAATTTGAGACTATATTCAAAACCCTTTACCCTCTATGTTTTTCATGTGTAATTAAGAGAAATCAGTATTAAATGCATTTTTTATGAAATAATCAAGATGTATGCTTTTAAAAGCTTTTATCTGGAAATTAATGTTTATCAAAAATACTGAAATTTGCCTAAAATAGATGTCCATTTTAAAATGATTTATACTCTGTTTTACATTAGCTTTAGTTTTACATTTCTATTCCCTTTCGACATCAAGCAAACGAAGGACCTTCATGTGCCTGTGACCTTGGAGCCCTGAAGGTCATTGTTTGCTTGAGCGCATTTTGCAGTGAAGTCTAAGATGCAAGACTAATTCTTATAAAACCTTCTTTTTATCTAAATAATTGGATATTTCCGTATGTTACTAATGTTTCTTACAGCACAAACAAAAAATCTTAGTACTTAAAAATTTAGAATAAGTACAATATTAGTAATAGTGATTATATTCCCTTATTGAAATTACTTCTGTACAATACTAATAGTCAGAAACTTAAGAATTTAATATCAGTGCTTATTTTATTCTATTTATATTCATTGCAACAATGTTAACACTTAGAAATTTTATGAAGTTTCCTCAAGAGTCTAACATAATTTATGTGCATTTAAAATTTAATGTTCCACTTCAATGTATAAAATATGATACAGTGGCACCAGTGACTCTTCATTCCATATCACACATGATAGGCTGGGAACAAAGAATGGTGGTTAATGAAGACTTACTACATGATCGACTTTGGTTTGAATCCTGGATAAGATATGAATTGTATTTGTAGTATTTTTGCAGAATAGATGTATTTAAAATCTTTCAAAAATCTGCCAAATATAGAGACTCTTTCTTGCCGAAAACCTTTCTCAGAACTTGATAGTGGAGAATAAAGAATTATGAGACTTCTGTCCCACTGATTGTTCCTAATCAATATTGGGGTTTAATTGTCGACACAGGTATCTAAAAACTATGGCTAGCAATAAATGCACCTCTGATCCTCTTCCTTCATGACTCTTTTTTTTTCTGGGAGGGGTCAATAACTGTATCCTAAAATAGGAATGGCTAAACTTCACAACAGTAATAGGATTGCATATTAGGATTTAGGAAATTTCGAGAGCCGCAACTAAATTTTGTATTTACATCTTAAAAAGAGAGAGAATACATTTTAATGAAAAGAAACATTTGAAGTAAATTGATTCTAATTAAATTAATCTGAATTCTGCATTCTCACTCTCTCTCTCTCTCTTTTTTTTGGGGGGGGGGGCAGCAGAGTTGCTGTTATAATTAATTTGGTTTAACACAAATATGAAATGTTATATATTTCTCCTGCTCTATGTTCAGGAATATTTATGCCTAAGATTGTAGGATGCAAATGAACATTTATCTTTGAGACAGAAATCAAGCATTTCTTCTGATTTCCTTTCTTCTTTTTCAAGCTGTGGACTGGTTTTAGCACAAATAAACTAAAACTGAAAGACGGAGTCTTAATGAACACAAAAACTTAAACAGGCTCTATATTTGAATTAAGGATAAAGTTGTAATTCAAAAAATTTTAATAATTTCATTAATTCAATATTTTTCTTATTTTTTAATTCATATGCAGCCTTTTGGAAACAATAAAGTACATAAAAATGAATAGCATATGATACGTAAAAATAGCTAGTTGAGAAAGATTTGTTTGTTTGCTTTTTTGCTTATATGAATAGGGCATATGGCATTCATAGGTAATCTGCGTAAAAGGAAGGATGTATTTGTGGAAGTCTTCTGATGGACAGTTCTCTCATATATACACTATTCAAGAAAGCAAAATGTTTTAAAATAATCTGTCAATATTTTCAGAATTTCAAGCAAAAAATAAATTAGTTTTTTTCCATACTATTAACCAACATACCAAGCTCAAACCTATCCCTAAATAACTGGCTTAATTCTTTAAATGTGGTTCTCAAGATTAAAGTAACTAAAACTGAAATCGAGGTCAATCCAGAGAAGTGTTAATTCTCCTCATGATCCCAAAAATTTAGACATCCACAATCGCAGACGAAGTAAATGATGATTTATGCCTATTGTTACTAAACAACCATTATAGAATGTAGAATTACAGTTGGAAGAATTATAATTGCAGCATATTATTGCAAATGGTTGCAAACATTGTGCAGAAAAATGTATGTACAAAAACCATCTAACTTGCTTAGGAATGAGGAGGTCATAATAATAGATCTGCCGACCAAATGAGATCTTTCATCTTGTCAATTAGAAAGATGTATGCAAGTCCACCAGACTTCAAATATTTCCCAGCCTGAAATAATCCTGGTATAAACTGTGTTTTTCTCCCTACAAGAAATTACAAGTTTACAAGCCAATCGAAAACTGGAAGAAGGTAGTACTTCACGAAGAAAAGCAAAGGTTCCGAGACATACAGATCATGGCTGTTGACAAGGCAAAGAACTACAGAGAAGGTTTTCTGAAAGAAATTGCCTTCTGAAAGAAAAGAAATTGCATATGCATATGTCTTTCGTGCTGTTCCGATGACCATTAATTGCTCGGAATAACTTGTGATTTCATCTGTTATTCTGACTATTAGCTTACAGTTTGAAATCAGTTGAATTATTATATACATAATGCAATTTAAGAAATTAAACTATTAATTGACAAAGAAGTCTCTCATTGCACCATTTCTGTTTCAGAGATAAAATTACTGTTTGTAGCAGGTGCATCATATATAAGAGGCCAAAGAGCCTGTAGTGGTTGCTACATCATAAACATTTTTCTGATTTAAGAATAACTTACACTACTAAATTTTAAAGAAAACAATTTATTATTCACTTTTTAAAGACGTTCTTTTGTAAACAACATCATTCTACGACTATTTTCATTTCTAATGTAGCCACTCACAGTTTGCATAAAGTTGTACAAAAGAAAAGATTATGTATGATTTGTAGAGGCTACAAGCCTCAAGCAGCTCACAAGCCTGTCCTAGAACATGGAGGCAAGCAATAGTGCTTGTATTGTGCACAACAAAATTAAAATCTGCTTGTGTTCTAAGACAATCATTCCAGCTGTTTAATAATATATAAATGTTTAACATTTTTTGTTCTTTAATAAGCACATAATAAATCACTAAAATGTTTTATTTGATCTTGTGAAAACTTTATATATGTGAAAACTTGATATCAGTGATAAACTTTATTTCATCAGCCCATTAACTAGGGAAAATAGTTTATTTTCATCCTGTATTATTTTACCATAGTAATTTTAATTTGTTTATTACATACATACAGAGTCGTAGCTAGGGTTTTCAGCACCTGGGGACAGCTGAAGATTTCACATCCCCTCCTGTTTGCTAAGAATGGAAAATATTTAATTCTGAAATTTCGGAACATCAGTTTGGCTCCCCCTGGATGCTGTGCCCAAAGACAGATGTCCCCCTTGCCCCCCTCTAGCTACGCCCCTGCATACATAATTGAAAGTTTTAGTAATTCTGATCTCTAAATTTTGACTGAAAGAATATCAAATTTTCTGTGCATCATATACTTATTTGCATATTTAATGAATGAAAGTACTTAGGTTTAACATTTCTTCATTTCAGAATTATCCTCCTCCTCCTTCTCAGACTAGTAGGTCATATGGACGATACTGAAAACTCATTCCACAAGGCATTCACTCATTCATCGTTGACTACTAGCCTGTGAAAGCTTATGTTTCTGCTTTGAAAGTTGACTGAATTTTAGTTTAATTCTAAATATTTAATACCTCATTTGCATAAAAATTAAATAAGGGAAAACTTCATTATATTTAATTTATTATTATATTTCCAATTTTTAATAACCATAGACCTAATTTTAAAAAGAGCCAGGTTTTAAAACTGTTAACTTCATTTGAATTTGTTAATAAAGGGATTTAAAATAAATTGTGTCTGTGTCTTTATATTATGATGATGAAGAATGTTAAAGTACATACTGCATTAAAATATTTTACTCAAAGTTACTACACTCATAGTAGTATTAAATTATCTCTTAGTGTTAAATATCTGTGTATCTGGCAGGTGACTGTATCTGCCTTGCATATGTAAGATAACTTACACACAGTAAGACATCATCTGCACCCAGTAAGACTGTACATGCATAAAATAAATATCCTACTGTTTACTCAGCTGTCTGTGTCTCATATGGAGAGGGACCATAAGTTATTATTCATCTGTTGTGATGCAATTCACTTCAAATGCATTGTAAAGACTGGCTTATAAAAACCCTGCATTCAGAATAATACTTTAATTGTGATGTAGCCGTTCTTCAATAAACATTAATGCTGGCTAGCTTTAAAAGGATTTATTAACAGAGCACGTAGAAACAGTTACAAACAAAAAACTATACATAAAAATGAAACATATACGAAATGGAACATCAAACTTTAGAATTACAAAGATATCTAGCACATGGTAACCTATCATCATGGCAGCTGGATGTCGACTGCCGTTTTTACTCTTTGCCACTAGATGGTATTCAATAAAATAGTTTGGTTACAGTTAAATAAATTACAATTTAATTCTGTTACATTATAATATTTTGTATTCTTCCATTGCTCAAAAATTAAAGACTGCATCTACAAGAGGTTATAACAACTATAGTCTGTTAGTTTAAAATAGAAACTTCAAGATCATTTTCCACTTCCCAGCCTGCTTCATAACCATGGAAACGACACCATCAGACAGTGGGTGTCCCTTAATTCATCCCGCCAACACACACACTCCATTTCTGTTTAGCGTGTTTCATTTCATAAAAATAAAGGTTACAGTTAAACTGCAGTTTCGAATGAGGTTGGAAGAATAAATGTGTAATGATCATGATACACTTTACAGTTGGAAACTGAGAGATCTGGCAATGGCTTAAGGGCTTATTTTAAAGACAGTAATATGTTTATTGCACTTTTTCGATGTCTATGGCAAACTAACATTTGTACATTCCATAAACTGAAGGTTTAAGTAAAAGTCCTTAGGGGTTTTTTTTTTTTTTTTTTTTTTTTTTTGGAAAAAAATTTTAGTCTTTAATTTTGGTCAAAATTAGCAAAAGATCCTTAATTTTACTCATCTGACATTTCTGTCTTTTTTTTTATGACTGCTGTTTTAAATGTGAAGTAACATTTTGGAGGAATACTTTTGGCACTGCATGGACAACTATGTATTTGATGGGTTTAGCATTTGAATTCTTTATGATTACTTAATATAAACTGTGGACACTCGACTTTTAAACATAAGGCCCTGCCTCAATTGAAACATAAACATTTCAAAATAATCTTTTTTGCAAATGAAGATTTCATAAAATATTACCCAAAAAAACAACTTTTCCCTTTTGGGGATATGAATAAGCTGTACTGTATGTTTGCTGTGAAATTATTTTTTCCCCATACTACCTCCTTGTTATTCAATTGGATATATTGGAGTGGTAACACTTTGCATTTGTTCTGGTGAAAGATCAAAGATCTCTATTAGCTGCTTGCATATTGATATGTGAAATAGAGCCACTTTCAAACATAGGCCATATAGGCAGCCACCTAGGATGTCATTTGAGTTGTTCTCTCAAGAGATGATTAAAATAAATAAATGTATATCTCACTTTGAATTGCTGATATATTAATATGGAATGCCGACCGTGCTGATCGCGTAGGAGGTCGAAAATGGCAGAGTCGAGCGTGTTTTCAAATTTTATCGGCTAGTAATGATTGGCTTGTAAAAAGCTTTGCTTTTTAAAAAAACTGATGTGGCCAGCACATTAACTCCCACCAGCTTCGTATTTAAAATAGCACTGATCTTCCAGTAACGTACCACTTCTTGTGGCCCATTAAAAACTGTTAAAGCTTTAAGTATGGCTTCTGGTTGTCCAGTTTTACCCAAAATCTAATTAACTCTATATGAATGCAGAAAACATAAATACAGAAACTTTTGGAAGTTTGATGTAAGAGTTATTGTGGACGAAAACATTGTCACACACAGACAAACATTATTATAAAAGTAATTAACGCCTGTTGTCAGAACCCTAATTCGTGCTCATTTCCTAACACTCGCTATTGAATTTTTGGATCGAAAACATTAGTGCCCTTTCCTATGCGTATTGGTTATCAGGGGGTAAAAGTACATTTTCTTCTAGAGTATACCATACTAAAAGCATACTACTTTTACATCTACAAAGAATGTACAACAAACTTCAAATGGATTTTTGTATTCCGATAACTCCAATAATCGTGTTCTTTTTTTATGAACCTTTCTACTTGTTTACAAAGTTACTTGTTTATAAAGTTATTTACAAGGCTTTGAGTTAAAAATGTTTTACATTTTTTTCGCTTTAGATTTGAAATTTTCTAATGACCAAAAAACCTACGAAGACTCGAGCTTTCCAATCTGGAAACTTTCTCGAAATTTTGGTGTCCTATACTCAGTTCCTCAAATGAAAATCCTAGTAGGATTAATTTCTTTGCTACTCAATTGTGAGCATATGAAAATCAAAATTGCAGGTATGCCTCCTACAACGCATTTTTGCTCCAATGCGATTGAAAAAATTCAGAAATTTTCTTGCGAGGAATCATAGCGACTTTTTAAACATACTATATCCTTAAATTACATGAATTAATTTTGGAGAAAATAGATTCTACAGTTATTACAGTCAGTGAAATTTGGAAACAGTTTTCAATTTTAAATTGTGCCGACATTATCGGCTCGTCCTTAAAAGATATACGCCAGTCAAAGATTTACAAAGCAAACAATCTTTAATGACAAATTTTTAAAACCTAAATCTACTGGAACTGCAGTGGAACTAGTTGATGAAACAACCTCAGATCTTGAAATAAGACCAACTATAATAAGTGACGATGAGAAATACATTTGTGAGCATAATATTGTGTTTCTTTTTTCTTTTGACTTGAAATCATAATCTTTTTACTTTTTATATGATTTTGAATTTTATTTAAGTTTTCATGTGCATAGCTCTAAAAAATTATGTCAATGTTACACTAGAAAAGGCAGTTTTTTTTTTTTTTTTTTTTTTTTAGAACCAATTCTTGAGTTGGTGTCTCTTATAACGCGATTTCCCACAACGTGGTATTTTCAAGGAACATACTACCGCATTGTAGGAGGCCCATCTGTACTTCTTTCAAAATGTTTCTAACCTCTAAAAACTGACAGTTTACTTTTTACAAAAGACACTGAAGATGCAGAAACTGACTTAATTCACTATTCTGCCAAGTTTCAAATGTAAACAAATATGGCTGCACTGTTATACTCAGTCGCACTTAAACAAATTTAAATTGTTGATAATTCTATAACTATTTGCATGCAGATTAACTAAAGACATAAAAACCTTAACCAGAATATAAGAACACCATAATTTTATCAATTTTAAAGCAAAAAATGCGCAATTTACCAATATATAAGAATAAAAAAAAACTGAGCTCACTGAGCCGAGTAACAGAGTTGGTATATATTATAATAGCAAGGAAAAGACGAAGCACTGCTGATGCGTAATACCCAGGTAAGATAGATCGTCGATCCATATTGAAGAGGAAGAATTCTGATTGCGTAGTACGTACGTACAGAAGTCACGAAAGAAATCTCTTTTGAATCCATATTGAGACAAAGAGTCCTTTATTCTGTCATTACGTACACGTGTCACACAAAAATATCATCAAAATGCATTCGATAGCGGTTACAGTGGATGTTTTCAATGAAGTATGATACAAATTTTCAGTACTTCTTTCATTTCATGCAAAGAAGTAAAAATTATTAAAAATATTATCTATAAAATTGCAAGACTAATTCAAAATGGATGCTATTTTTAGAAATATTCTTATTGCATAGCGATTCTGCATCATAATTATTCTTTCTGCTCGATATTATTATAAAAAGCGATTATTATATTAACTTATAAAAAATAAATTCCTTTTTCGTTTATGCGATGAAGTTTTATTACCCAAAAATAAAAATTAAGACTACGAATTACGCCGAAATTCCTAAAACTTAGTCTAGTCACGTCACTTGCTAATACCGTCATGTTTCTTTGCTTTAATTACAAACATGGGCACATCTCTTCATGTTGCTTCTGATGGGGGGAAAAAATAATGATGCATTTTATATGAACATTAAAAAAAATAATCAGCTTTTCTTTTATGTAAGTATAAATGTAGTGTGATTATGCGCTCTGGTGTTAGTGTTCTTCCTGGATTTAACTTCTTAGTCCATAAGCTCTGCATCGTATTCATGAGGCAACGCTCAAATATGAAAAACCCTCAGCCGAGTTTTCGGAAAAGATTTTATTTGCTTTTTTTTCCTCGCGCTTTGACGGTGTTTCCACCGAGAAAACTAAAGCCATTTGAAAGCAGGACCAGTCTTCGGTGCGCCATGTTTTATTTAATATGCGTAGCATCTTTTTTTTTTTTTTTTTTTTTTTTTTTTCTCCTGTCTTTCTAGTAATACAAGTGAGCTTTGCTATATGAGTTTTATCACGCCTTAGGCTTTGCATTCTGTTTTTCAATTCTTAGTTTCTTTAACAGCACCGTTTTAAGTTGGGCCGAGTTTTTTTGTTGAGCGGAAAATGGATGAGAATGTATTTTGGATAAAATGCGCATGCAGTCAAAATGCTTTTTAAATTACACGAGATAAAAGTTCGCAACAACGGAAAGGTATAAGTAGTTCCATTTGCTAAATTTTGCCTTTTTCAGTGGATCTGAAAAAAATGCATTGACGGTATTTTGTCAGTCACAATTGTTCATCTCATATTGCCGTTATTAAGGAACATTTTAAATCTCCCTTCGTTTTATCTTTATTCAAGAATTTGTTATCGTAAAGCATTGCTGCATTGCTATCAAGGTGTTTTTCATTTGTTTT